CCGCGCCCCCGCGATGGGCGCTGGGGCGGACCGCGCCCGCGACCTGCGGTTGCGGCCGTCGCGCCCGCGACCCGCGCCAGCGGCGGCGCCCGCGGCCAGCCGCGCGCGACGCGCGGGTGGATTGGGAGCTCGGCGCCGGCCGCTGGCCAGACGACACCCCCCCCGCGGTTCCCAGTGCCCTGCGTCTTGCCCAGTGCCTTGCCGGCGCCTTGCCTCGCGAAGCCTTTATGGAACCCGTTTCTGTATTGCTTGGGGCATGACGGGCGTCATGGCCCCCGGCCTCCGGCACCCTCCCCACCCCCTATGACGTAACGTTCCCCCCCCAGTGCGTTCTGGGCACTGCCGCCGTGCGCATCTTGATCCGCATCGGTGTCCGCATAGTTAGTAATCTGCACAGGAGTCTGGTCCGCAGTCGTCGTCGTCGTCGTCGTCGTCGTCGTCGTCGTCGTCGTCGTCGTCGTCGTCGTGTCGTCGTCGACGTCGTCGTCGGCGTTGTCGCTCGTCGCTCGTCGCTCGTCGCTCATCGTCGTCGTGCGCGCGGGCGCATCTGGAGCCTGTTTTTCGTTTTTGTAATTCCGGGCCGATGACGGCAATCATCTGTGGGGGTGGAGGGGGCCGATGACGTCGCGTTTCGCGCCGGCGGAGTCCGGGAACGCTTAAGAATCACCGAGGACGGGTAGCAGCAGCATGTCGGTGGCGATCTGCACCACAACGCCTGTGTACACCATAGTGCCTGCGTGCACAACAGCGCCTGTGTACACCGCACCGCCTATGTACACCACGGCAGCCGCGTGCATCACAGCGCCAGTGTGTGCCACAGTGCCTGCTGGCGCAACAGCGCTTGTGTACACGGCAGCGCCAGCGTACACCACACCATCCGTGCGCAACACAGCACCAGTGTACACCACAATGCCTGCGTGCACTCAGCACGGCACCAGTGAATAGACCATTCTGCGGTCCACGCTGAGACGCGCACGTGCGCTGTAGTGCCGACCCGCACGACAAGGGGGAAGGGCGAGGGAGGAGGAGGAGGACGACGAGGAGGGAGAGGAGGCGGAGGTGGAGGAGGGAGAAGGAGAAAACGTCGCATTCTATCTCAGCGCTTCCCTGGCGTGGCGTTTAGCTGTCCGCAGCAGGTCCTCACCGATATGCTCCTTCTCCCTGTCCTGTGCACGCAGGCACTCAGGTGTACACCAGCGCTGCGTTGTACGTGGATTTTGTGGTGTAGACAGGCGTTGGTGTGCACAGGCGTTGCGGTGTATGTAAGCATTGTGGTGTAGACAGGCGCTATGTTGCACATGGCTGCTGCGGTGTACACATTCGCTGTAGTGTACACCGGCGCTGTGGTGCACGCAAGCACTGTGGCGTACACAGGCGCTGCGTTGCACACGGCTGTTGCGGTGTATGCAGGCGCTGTGGTGTACACAAGCGCTGTGGTGCACGCGAGCATTTTGGTGTACACAGGCGCTGTGGGGGCGGCAGATCGCCACCTACATGCTGCTCGCGTCGTTGTCGTTGTCGTCGTCGTCGTCGTCATCGTCGTCGTCGCTCGTCGCTCATCGTCGTCGTGCGCGCGGGCGCGGCTGGTGCCGGAGCCGCACGGCGGGGGGGGGCCTTGCGTCATACCCCCCCCATGAAGCCCATGAAGCCCGTCATCGCCGATGAGAAAGAAACGCGCTCATGTTTATGCGCCGTGCGCGCCTGGGCTTTTCCTCCGCGGCTGGCAGGCATCTGGAAGTCGAGGTGCGACGGGCGCGTTACGGGGTTCGCGAGGCAAGGCGCTGGTGAGGCTCTGGGCAAAAGGCGGGGAACTGGGGGGCGCGGGAGGGTGTCGTCTGGCCCGCGGCCGGCGCCGAGCTCCCAATCCACCTGCGCGTCGCGCGCGGCTGGCCGCGGACGCCGCCCGGGGCCGCGCAACCGGGCCGCCGGCGCGGATCGCGGGCGCGCGGGTCGCAGCTGACGAAGCGGCGAACACCGCAGCCGACAAGGCAGTTAACCAGGCAGGCAATGTTTTCGCCAACCAATCAGCTCTCCGAGCGTCGCCTTCATAGTCGGCGCCACGGGCGTCGCTCATCGAACTCGGACTTAGCCGGGTCCCGAGCGAATCCTGGGTGAATGTTGGTATGTTGCGGGTGATTTGTTTTTGATTGCCACGTCGCTGCGGCGCGCGTTTTTCGTGGTGGCGGGGTGCTCTCTGCGATGCCGCGGCGCGTGGCCTGGCCCCGACTCGGATGGGCCCTCTAGTTGCAAGAGCCACGCTGTTTCGGTTTTGCGGCGCGCGCGGGGCGCCCATCGGGGCCGCGTCGACGGCCGCTCGGCTGGTCAGCGCGCCATCCTGGAGGCCATCGGGCAACATTTCGCGCGCGGAGTGAGCTTCCCACGATGAATTTGTTGCAGGGGGGTTTTTGGCCCAATGGCCCAAGAGCAGTGGGCCGTTGACTCGACGACCCAGGAGTCTTGGGTCCTTTGCTCCAGGGCCCTGCGTGCGCGGCCATGCAGACTTCGGCCCTCGCCCGCGGGGCCCGCGAGTCGCGGGCTCAACCCCGCGGGGCCCGCGAAGTCCCGCCCCCTCCGCTGCAGGGGCCCAGAGTCGGCCTTTGACCCTGGGGGCCGCGTCTCGTGGGGCAGCGACAGTGCGACCCGGGAAGTCGCGCCCTCATGAGCAGAGGCCCGCCGAGTCGGGGGCCCGGGGGCCCTTGACCAGGAGTGCCCAGGAAGCTGCAGGTCCTTGCGTCGAGGGCCCTGGACTCGGGGGCCGCGGAGCCCACGGCCCAGGAGCCGCCCGCGCGCGCCAGGCAGCGCCAGCGAAGCGTCGCCGAATCGGCAGCGAATCGGCGGTGAAGTCACCTCTGTCTCGCCCCCAGCGATGTTGCGGCGTTGGGTCTACGCTTTGAGTGGCGCGGCGCCGCGCTCCACTTCTCCCGCTGCCCCCATCCTCCCATCCCTGCTTCTGCCCTCCGCGCGTTCCTGTTTCGGCGCGCCCATCGCGCGGTTTGTGGCCCCGTGGGGGGCTCCACGGAAGGCCCCGTTTGCTGGCTTTGCGCAGCGGCGCCGCCCCATTCCAGCACGACTCTCGCGCGGTTCGTGGCTCCATAGGGAGTTTCACCGAAGGTTCCAGTGGCAGGGCTCAGGGTTCGCATGGCGGCGCCGCCGCAATGTGGCAAACCCCTCGCACGGCTCGCGGCCTCCATGGGAGCTCCACCGAAGGTCCCACTGGCAGAGGTCGCATGGCGACGCCGCTCACCCCTCACGCGGTTCGTGGCCCCATAGGAAGCTCCTCCGAAGGCCCCAGTGGCAGGGTTCGCATGGCGGTGCCGCTCCATTTTGGCGCGCCCCTCAGACGGTTCGTGGCCCCATGGGGAGCCCCGCCGAAGGCCCCAGTGGCGCGGCCCGCATTGCGGCGCCGCTTCATTTGGGCACGCTCTCAGACGTATCATGGCTCCATAAGGAGCTCCACCGAAGGCCCCAGTTGCGGGGTTGCGGCGCGGCCCGCATGGCGGCGCCGCTGCATTTTGGCGCACCCTTCAGACGGTTCGTGGCCAGGGACTCCAACCGAAAGCCACAGCAGCGCGGTCCGCATGGTGGCGCCACCCCATGTGGCGCACCAGTCGCGCGGTTCCTGGCCCCATTGGGGGCTCCACCGAAAGCGGCGCCACAACACAGCATGTGCAATTGCATATGGCTGGATCTTTCGCCGAGAAGATTCTCAAGCAAACTTCTTGATTCGGGGGGCGAGCCTGGCGGCCAGAGCCATCGTTCGGAGCGACATTCGGGCTGTCGAGGGGCAAGATTCGGAGGATGTGCGGCCGACGAAGGCAGACGTCGGAGGTTAGATTTGGCCACGCGGGGCGCCTTCACGAACCTCTCAGAAGCCCCCCAGAAGATTTCCGTGAGCTCCTCAGGAGCCTCGCGGGTGCTTCTCAGGAGCCTCCCAGAGACCTCGCAGGAGCCTTTCATGGGGGTCTCAGGAGCTTCTCGGCGAGTTCTCAAGGCGGTTCGCAAGAGTTCCACGGGAGCTTTTCCGACACCTTTTCTGGAGCTTTTTCGGGGGGCCTCTCATGGAGGTTTCGGGGGCTGTTCAGGGGCTTCGCAAACTTGGTTCATGATGCTCCGATGGGGCTTAACAGGAGCCCTTGGTCACTTTGCCAGTATCTTCTTACACGCTTTTCAGTAGCTTTTCAGGAGCATCACAGGATTCTCTTTATCCAGGGCCCATCAGGGGTTTCGCAAGAGCCTCCCAGGTTTTCAGAAGCCTTTCAGGAATTTGTTACCAGGGCCCTCTTAGAATCCCCTCAGGAACCCCTCGCGAGCTTCTCGTCGTTGTCATCATATTCGTCGTGGTCGTCGTATTCGTCGTCGTTGTCGTCACCGTGGTCGACTTCCGTCTCGTGTCCGCGCAACGGAGTGCTAATGCACCCCTGACGCATGGTCCTGCAATCTCGCGCTCGGTTCGAGAACGCGCGGTTCACAAGAACCTTTGGGGGGCCAGTTCATCCCGATGAATCCGTTTTGTGCACCCTTGAGTCGAGGGCACCTGGCCACGTCGCAAAGTTCAACCGAGACAGCGATGTAGAACAAGTGTCAGTGCGACTGGTCCCACAAAGTGGCCACTTCGTGCGAATCGCTTTGTTGCCAGACGCAGGCGGGATCGCACCAAATTCCCCCCGCAGCTTCGCTCGCTGTGTGCAGCCTGCCGGCGCCGCCAGGGCGAGGCGGGGGAGGAGGGAGAGGAGGGAGGGCGTCGCCGTCCCAAACATGCGACGTCCTGATTTTTTGAATACGGCGTCCCAGGAATTCCCGACCATTTCCCCAGGACCGGTTTTTCATCCTGCGTCGTTTTTGACGGTCCCGAGGCCCAGCGAGAGCCCGCCGAGGCCGAACATGGCCAAAAACTTCCCGTCCTGATTCTCTTACGACGCGATCATGTCTGGGATCCTGGCAGCAGCAGCAGCAGCAGCAGCAGCAACAGCGACGGCGGCGGCGGCGGCGGACCGCCTGAGGAGCGCGCGCTGCTGGCGCACGCCCCTCCCGCCGGCTTGCCGTCGGCCCACGGCTGGGACGCCGTGCGGACAGTCGGGGTGCCCCGCAGCCCTGGCTGTCCTCGCGTCGCGAGGAGGGGGAGGAGGAGGAGGGGGAGGAGGAAGGCAGGTAGGTAGGTGGGGCCGCGGACGCGCGGGTGCTGAGCGCGCCGCGATGCCCGCCGCGGCCGCGCTCCTGCACGCCTGCTGGGGTCAGCAGGCGCGCTCGTCGAACTTCGGGTCGACGTCGACCCAGTGCAGCGTGCGCGAGTACGCGCACTCGTTGATTATGCTGCGCCCGCTGACGTCGACGACATCGGGGCCACTGCGCGTGGCCCGCAGTGTCGGGGACGAGCATCTCCTCGAGCTCGAGCTCGCACTGCTCGAAGATGTCGTCCCCGTCGTCGAGGTTGGTGCGAGCGCGCTCGCTCCGCACCTCCAGCCTAACCCCTCGCCTGGCTCGGGAAATGTCCTGCACCACCTCGTCGACGATGTGAGGCTTAACCCCTCGCCTGGCTGGGGAAGAGTGCTGCGCCACCTCGTCACGGAAGATGATGTCAGGCCTAACCCCTCGCTTGGCTGGGGAACCATATTTTACTCCTTCTGGGGCGGTCGCCTGGTTGCCTCTGGCTCGTGAGCAAGGGGTTGGGGTGCTCCGCGAGCTGCTCCCCTCCTTGCTCATGTCAGTGCGCCGCCCTTCATGTGAACCGCATGCCTTCTCGCAAACGACCGCGGAAACGGTGGAGGAAACAGAGGAGGGGGAAAAGGAGGAAAAGGAGGAGAAGGAGGAGCAAGAAGATAAGGTGGAGGAGAAGGAGGAGGAAGAGGAGGAGGCGGAGGGGGAGAAGAAGGGGGATACTGTTTGTTTTGTTGTCGTTGTTGTTGTTGTTGATGATGATGATGATGATGATGATGATGATGATGATGATCATGATGATGATGATGATGATGATTCGGATGCTGGTGAGGATGGAGCTGCTGTTATGGCTGTTGCTGCTGACGATGAGGATCATAATGGTGATGATGATGCTGATGGTGATGGTCATGGTGATGGTGATGCTGCTGCTGCTGATGATGATGGTGATGGTCTAGGATGATGATGCTATGCTATGGCGGAGATTTGTATGTCTACAATCATGTTTCGGACGGGAATGATGATGGCAATGTTGTTGATGATGAGGGTGGTGGTGGTGATGATGATGATGACGATGTTGATGACGATTATGTGAATGATGATGAGGATGGTGATGATGCTGGTCTTGTCGGTGATGATGACGTTGATGATTAGAATGAGCATCATCTTCACCACGACCATGATCAGTCTCATGATCATGAGGATGCGGCTATGATGTTGATTATGCTGATGAGGATGATGCTGATGATGCTGATTATGATGATGTTGATGCTGCTGTTGCTGCTGCTGATGATGATGATGATTATGATGATGATGCGGCTGATGATGATGATGGTGATGATGACGATGATGATGATGATGATGATGATGATGATGATGATGATGATGATGATCATGATGATGCTGATGATGATGATGATGATGATGATGATGATGACGACGATTCCCTTTCGGGCCCTGGCGCCTAGGTCCCCAGCAAAGCCCCCAGGGTCTCCAGGATCGCCTGCGCGAAAGAGCGACCCTTCGCCGGAGTTAATTACCTTTCGTGCTAAGCCACTGTGATTCCCCTCGGCACTGGCTTGCGCGCTTGGATTGGTCCCCACCCCCCGCGGCCCCCAACCCGCGCAGCAAATGTTACTCACTCTTGCGCGTCGGGTCGGACGAAAGGGGGAGGTTCGAGAAAGGGAATGCGACGAAATCGGCTGCGTGCAGCTAGCTTCGGCCCCGCCGCCAGGCGCTGTCCTCGATGCATTGGCGCCCCCGGGGGCACCAGGAGGCGCCGCCAAGACCAGCAGCGTGCCCCCCTCTCGTCTGCCCCGAGCGTGCACCAGGAAACTGGATCTAAGCTGGGCATGTCCCGCTCTAGAAGGAATCGTCAAAACTAGTCAGAAAATAGGGGGCGATTTTTGGGGTATTGAGCATTTTTTGATTGTTTTTTTTGCTGGTCCTCCCAGATCCGCCTGCAGGGGAACACGCCCGACCTAAACTGGATGCGCATGACGTGTCGGGCCTGGGCAGGAGCCGGACGCGCATGCTGCCACTTGCCTTTGCAGCGCTCGGCCTTTCCATGGCCGTGTGGACCGGGCTTCCGCATCAGCCATTCGGGGGCGGCCAAGAGGGGGGGTATACCATGGCGTAGGCCATGCTATTTCCTCAGGTTTCATGGCGCCTCTCCTTATTTTATTACGTCCCTGGCCCCCGCCCTGGGCCGCGCCCATGCCGTCGGCCATGATTTGCGCCCGCCCCCTCTTGGACGCCCCCCTCTTGGCCGCCCCCGAGCCATGTGTGTTTCCAGCGTCCTGGAGATCCCTGGAGGTTGCGTTTTCCATCCTGTGGCGCGTGGCGGTCCTTACCCGGCCCCCCCCTCCCCCGGGTAATGGCAATGATCGTTCGGGGGGGGAGCCTGGACCCCCCCGACATGCTGGTTCCTGCGCGCAAGCTACAACGATCGCGGCGCACCCGCGTTCCAACGTGTCCACCCCACCCGGGCGTCATCGTTATCCAGGGATCCACCACCCCCGGGTAACGACCGCTACCGGAAGTCATAAAAGATCTCCTGGCGAAGGACCCAGTGACGCAGTTGTGAGTATTGTCTTCGGCGGAGCTCGCTATGGGGCCACGAAGCGTGCGATGTGTGTGCCGTAATGTGCTGGGGAGACGCGCGAGAGCACTGCCACAGGGGCCTCTGGTGGAGTTCCATATGGGACGACGAAACGTGTGAGCGGTGTGCTGTTATCGGGCGGGGGGGACGCATGTGAGCATTGCCGCTGGGGCCTACGGTGGAGCTCCCCACCTATGGGGCTACGAAGCGTGTGAGTGGTGTGCCGTGAAGGGCGGTGGAGACGTAGGTGAGCACTGCCACTGGGGCTTCCCATGGAGTTCTATCTGGGGCCGCGAAACGTGTGAGCGGTGTGCCACAATGATCGGGGGAAGACGCATGTGAGCACTGCCACTGGGGCCTTTGGTGGGGCTCCCCGTGGAGCCACGGCCGATGGTGATGTTAATGACGATGCTGGCGCAGCCCGCCACCCTCCCCGCCTTTGGTGGCGCCTCTCTCCGCCCCTTTGAAGGCCGAGGTGGCTGGGGGGGGTCCCTAGCGGGAACCTCGGCGTAGCGGGCGTTTCTCTCCTCTCCTCCCCTCCGCGCTCCCACGCACGCTGTGCTTCGCAAAGCATCCAGAGACCCTCTTTCCTGTCGCCCGTCGTCCCCAGACCCCCGACGTCATGATTTTCTCTCATGACGTCGACCCCCAGAGGTCTCTCGACCCGTTCCCCGGGACTGGTTTTTCATCCCGAGTCCTTCTTGTTGACGGTCCATGGGGCTGGGCAAGTCCCGGTCTCGCCCCGACGCGCGAGCGGATCGCCTCTGCCCCGCCGCGGCGCAAAAGGGTGGACAAAAGGACCCCCAGAGGTCGAACTTAGCGCCAGACCCCCCGTCGCCATGTGATTCCACGGCGCGAGGGGGTCTGGGTCTGCTGCGCTCTCTCCTGTGCTCCCTCCTCTCCCAGTGCCCCTCTGTAGCAAAGGTGTCGCCTCTCAAGTCTGCCTCTAGCGTCGATTGGCGTCGACTTAGCGTCTGGGAGTGGATGAGGTAGCGCCGATTTGGCGTCGGTGAGCGTCGGCTAGCGTCAATTCGCATCAACGTAACGTCGATAAGCGTCGATCCAGCGTCGATTTCGCAAGAGCCGACGAGATGGTGCGGGCGGCTCTTACTATGGGCTGCCACCGAAAGCGCCTCTCCGGTGGCAGGCGCTGGGCGCGCTGGCGAAGCTGGACGCGGCGTCGCCCGCGTCGCCGCTGCGGCCGCGCCCCCGCCCCCTCCTCTCTCGGGGATGTAGCTAGCGTCAGCGCGCGCGCCAAGAGAGGGACAAAAGAGAGGATCTCCCAAAGCCTGACGAGGGCGTTGCCCCGAGGTGGCCCGAGGTTTTCCCAGAGGTTCTCGAGGCGCCCCCCAGATGCCTGCGGAGACTCCTGGGAGGCTTCAGGAGGAGGCACTAAGAGCTCCCCAAGAGGCCCCGAAAGACCTCCAAGACGCCGCCAAAAAGGCCCCGAGGGCAGCGGGGGGCCCCTGCTGAGCCGCTGCTGCTGCTCTTTGTCGCCCTCTCTCTCGGCGGCGAGCGAGGGGGGGATCGGTAGCAAATCATGGGAGCCTTGCGCACGGTAGGCTCGCGTCGTGTCGACCGGCGGCGACCCCGCTGCCGGCGTGCAACACTGAACACCGCTGGCGGCCCAGAGTCGGTCGATGTTGAACGATCGGACGTTCCAGAAAGGGCCAATGGTTCAAGGTTTAGCGATCCCTTCGGTGTCAGGAACCAACGCCGGGGTCGACACGACACGAACCTGCCGTACCCTGGCAATTTTGTCTTTAGCGTCGATTAGCGTCGATTGGCGTCCGGGAGTCGATGAGATAGCGCCGATTTAGCGTCGGCTAGCGTCGATTAGTGTCGATGTTGCGTCGATTAGAGTTGAATTGAGGTCGACTAGCGCCGATTCGCAAAAGTCAATAAGGTGGTATGGGAGGCTCCCATGAGTTGCCACAGAAGGGGGGAAGTAAGAAGGATAATGCCTTTTCAGAAGGCGGCGGGACTTCTCAGCAGCCCGCACGCCTCCTAAGAAGTGTTCCGTGTCTTCGGGGGAGGCTCAAAAATCTTCCTAGGGGGCCAGAGGACTTCCGAGCCGTCTGAGGAGGCCCGCCCCTTCTCACTTCCCCACGGGGCTCGCCGCCAACTCTCTAGCGGCGGGGAGAACACGGCACGCAGTCAAGCGTCGCGGAGAACGTACAGTTGCCGCTGTCACTGCCGCGTTTTCGCCTGTGTGGACCCCCTGGGAGGCCCTCGTCGCCACGGCCGAATTCGCTTCGGAATTTCAGTCAGAGCGCATCCCGAGAGCGGCCCAGGGAGTCGCGGTATCGGTACCTTTTGACCTCCCCAGAAAGGAGGACCAGTTCGGGCTTGAGTGGGGCTCTATTTTTTGGGGCCGCTCTGCTGCTCCCAGCGTAGGTCGTCCTGCTTGTGAATGATGCGCGGTGCGTTGGCTGGCGGGGACCCCGTGAGCCTGGCAACTGCGCGCAGTTGCTGTCGACGCTGTAGTTGTCCGCTGCCACGCGCCAGGTGGCGGCAGATACTCTGTAAAACCGAATGTAGTGAAGTCCACAAGGTGCTGCTGCGGTCGGCCAGTGGAGATATCCGTTGACACGGTAGTTCGCACACGACCTCTATGAGATACTGTGGGCCGACGGCCCGAGAGATCCCTGCGAGAGGAATCTGGCGGTGTGCGTGTATGGATGTCTCCACGGCGGTAACCCACGAACCGTAGAATTGCCCAAGCTGAAGGGACACGTCAGGCTTGAGCCTAAGGGCTACGGGGGCAGTGGCAGCGGGGGCTGGCCGAGACCTACGAGGAGGCAGCACGCCGATTTGTTCCCTGTGGGCACTCCAGAGCTCACTATCTACATCGAACTCGGGGCTTCGATGGCACTGAGGCTGGGTCCCTTGATTCAAATCGGGTTCGCTGGGGGGATTCTCACGCTGGGCTGGCGAATCAGGTCTATGAGAATCGTTCGACTGTCCGACTGTATCAGAGCTGTCGTTGGCAGGCTGAGTAGGATGGGTAGGTTCACCTGCACCGAACTGGGCAACCTCAAACCGCACATTTGAGGGTTGACTGGATGGCAAGAGATGGCATTCCAACGATGAGCGAGACGAGGGGTCTTTTGACTCTTCGCGAGCAAAGTTCGGAGCAGGGACAGACGCGGCTGGCCTGAAACAGCTCGTGTGCCCACGGATCGCCCTCGTCAGATTGAGTGTCGAATGGTTCATCCTCGGTGCCATCCGATGTCTCCCCAGCACTTGTGGTCTGGCCAGCTGGGTCCTTGCCCTCGAGAAAATCACCATACATTGTTTCCTAGAGGCGTTGTCTGTTGGCCTCGGCCTTTTCTTGTTGCTCTGCGTAGGCGGCTCTGGCACGGCTGGCCTTAGAACCTGGCCTGGCAGCTCGAGGGGGCTTGACAGCGTTTGGTAGCCTTCGGGGCAGACCGAGCATTCGGGTTAGGAGCTGATCTCCCGACTGAACAATCTGAATCCTCAAACCTAGGCGGGGCTTCCACGGCAGATCGTGCACAGCCGAGACATCGACCAGGTACGGGCGGGCAGCAGCGCTGTGAACGACGAACTCCGAATGCGATGGCTTACGTCCGCCCCCAGGGTCGCAAGTATACTCGGCAGGTGCGCGCATGATGGATCCCTGGATCGATTCCAGGAAGCCTGACTTGCTGAGCGTCTCGGGGCTGACGC